TCTCACTCTTGTGGCCTCTCCCATTGCGGAGCACAGGCTCCGGATGCGCAGGCTCAGGGGCCATGGCTCACGGGCCCAGCCGCTCCACGGCATGTGGGATCTTCCCGGACCGGGGCACGAACCCGCGTCCCCTGCATCGGCAGGTGGACTCTCAACCACTGCGCCACCAGGGAAGCCCATATAACCTCTTTTTTTTTATCAAAAAGAATATTCATATCTTTCTCTTGGAAAACAATTTTTACAGACTCACACCATTAGAACACTGATTTGTCTTTGCATACTGTCAGTTTTTATTTACCCTCATATCTTAAAATACTGCCCCCAAATCTTAGCTGACAAAGAGAATCACAGTTCTTTAGCCGAGTTTCAAGACTCTGTTATAATTAGCAGAGTTGATCTGGAACGTAAAACTCTTGAACAGGGATCCCTAGGCGTTCTCTTCTTGGAGAAATGGAGGTTTTCCTTTCCTCTTTTCGAAGTCACTATATTGTCATTTTTTAAAAAGGAGTTTTTCTCCTCCTGTGAAATCCAGGTTAACTCTGGCTTACTTTTTCCCCCCATGGTGTAGGCAAGCTTCTCAAATCGTAACTTTTTTTTTCGAAGGGCTGCATTAGCTAACATTTGATTTCTTAGTTCACAGCAGTCAAGGGACTTTGGAGCATTTTGAGCTCAACTTGTGTACTTAATTAGTTGGTTGGGGCTAAAAATTTCCTTTGAATCACCGTTAGATCTTGATTTTCACTATTCATTCATTTCCTTTAGGTCAAAGATTTATTTCCTTAGTCACAAACGTTATTTATTATTGAGAGTCTGAGGAATAATAGACATTGTGTATGTGGCAATCAGAGAGCAATGCTAAGAAGGTAGTTATTTAAGTGGGTGCATCCAAGTAAGTTTTCTGAGATAAAGAAAATTTCACTATTTATTCTCCTGTATGAGAAAAAAAAAAGTCATCACATTTCTCTTTCCACTTTCCCATTGATCTTTAAACTTTACCTTTGTAGAAATGGCCTTCATCACATACCCCATGTCCAATGACTTTTGTTCTTTGAAAATTTAACGTTTGCCAGGTTAAATATTAAACAACAAATGAGATGGAAAGGGCATATTTATATTGCCCTCAAATCCCCCTGTGATTCACTCCCAGTCTGATAGAAAAGAGATTCTTTTGGTGGAATGACTCCCTGGGTAGGGAAAGACATGGGCCAGTTTCACAGCTGTTCATTCTCCAAAGCCATTTTCAAGCAAAAACTAGTTCATGGGTGAACAACATAAGATTCTCAGCACATAACTCTACTCACCTAGATCGGGCTGTATGCCTTAATGGGGGAGGCGGATAAATCTAGAGAGCCACAGTAACAGTGTGTGCCCCTCAGCATGGGGAGATAGGATGCAGGGATAAGCAGTTTACCTAGTAGGGTCACGATGCACAGCAGGATGGCAACCAAAGCCCCCGTGCTCAGTCCCGTGGGGTGGACGAGGGCCTCTGCATGGCAGGACTGCATGTTCCCTTGGTGGTCACACGCACAGACCCGGACAGTCACTGTCCCAGTGCTGCTTTGGACTGGGTAGTCATTGTCTGATATGACCACAGGCAGGAGATAGGTGCTCATCTCGTGTCTATTATAGCCATTTTTCCGAGTTAAGATTCCCGCTGTGTTGTCTGGAACCGGAAAGCAAAGTGGTGATTGGAAGTGGAAACCATGTTATATATTGGATCAATTGTGATGGGAGTAGACAGATAACACATGCAGATATAGATATATAGACAGGCAAGGCAACTTGGGCTCATTTACCTTTGTTGTCTTGAATGGTAAAGTTTGAGCCACTGGCTGCTTCTGGGGCCAAAGAGAACGAGAATTGGTGCCCGCTGTAAGGGTCATCCTTGTCAATGGCTCGTAGGGTCTGAATCAACTAAAATTGAAACCATAAAGCTGCCATCAAGTTTTGCTAACTCAAAAGTGTTTCTTACAGTTTTGCAGTAAATGGCTTGATCAAATGATTTCTAATTTTACTTTTAAAATTATAGCCTGTAGAAAATTTACAATGAATCCACTGTATGCAAAGAACTAATAGGCTGGAAATAGAGCCAGGGACAATACTTTGTTGTGGAGCTGTCCTGTGCACTGTAGCATTTTTAGCAGCAAGCCTGGTCTCCTCCATTCAAACCAGCAGTACCCTCTTCCTTGTGACAATCAGAAATGTCCCCAGACATTGCCAAATGTCCCCTGGGGGGCAATATCACCTGGGTTGAGAAACATGGCCCTAGAGTGATACCAAGCTATAAAATATCACAATGATCTATGACAATATTGCAACTTAAGTAAGTGGAGGCGCTCTTTGGACAGCCTGCTTAGAAATGCAATCTTGGCATATACATAAGCCATCAACCTGCAAAAAAAGCTAGTTTGAATATAAAACACACAACTTCAGCTTCTCATTTTAACATGCATTTTAACAGTGCACTTCTATTTTGACAAACTGTAACATAGTTTTTATATCACTGGCAGAAAAGACCGATTTCAGGTGGGGACAAATGTGTATAACAGTAAAACGTTCATGAATTTGTACTGCTTGTACAGATGGGCAATGTAAGTAAGTGAAACTATGAATTATAGGCAACTGTAAAATATGTTCTAGCTTTTACTTTCCAGTATATATGGTAATTAAAAGTATCTGCTCACCAATAAAAATTTTTCCAATAAAGCTGTGACTAATCTATTTTATGTCAAAACTTAAGACTGATTTGGGATCAGCATCAGTCTTTGAGACTGATGAACTTCGTGTTCTTAAAAGCTGTTTGTTCTCTTATGCAAGTTAAACATTCATCCTGGTTCTTATTTATAGTAATAATTTTGTTGGCATTTATTTCATAGATAATTCAAAACTTGCCCTCAGCTCTGTGTATCGTCTGAATTATTAGAAGATCTAAATTAATCTGAGTTAATTAATTTACCTTCTTATGAAACTCACCTGATCTGCTTTTGCTTTTTCACAGACAAAGGTTTCATAGAATTCAGCAAATTCTGGAGGGTTGTCATTGACATCTAGAACTTTAATATACAGCGGTACTCGGCTGCTTTGCTTTGGATTATCTGCAAAATGCCAAAAAGAAAGGAATAGGCATTTATACGTTGATGGCCAGTCCTCTTTAGATGATGGTTACTCACTCCTTTCTCATTCATACATAGATTCCCCAAGGCTCCTGTGAGTACCACAGTGCATTATGTATCATCATAGTCACAAAAAAGTAGAATTAGATTGTTTGGTACTCTGGAGTTGGATACACCTAATGGAAATATCTAGGAGACAAAGCTACTTCTATGGGTACAGTGCAACTGTATAACAAACCCCAGAGTAACACAAAATAAAGAAAAGCTCTCCAGGAAAGGAATTTTAGAAGCATATTTTAAAGGAAGCCAAGGAAGTAGGCAGATGGGAAAAATGTGGGCAGAAGGAAAAAGGATGGGATAATAATGATTGTTAATGGTCTTAGTTTTTCAGTTTGAGAGCTAGACATTGTGCTGAGCACTTTGTTATATTTTATTTAATCCTTATAAACTTCTGAGATAAATATAAGTATTGCCCCCATACTATAGATGAGGAAACACATCATATTATAGATGAGACACAGAGAAGGTAGGTAACTTGTCCATATTCACAGAGATAGTAAGGACTGGAGCCTAGACTCGGACTTGGGTCTGTCTGACTCCAAAGCCTAGGCTGCTCATCTAGGATAATGATACAGCAGAATCGGTGTTTGAAGACCTGAGATAAATGAAGTCTTTTGGCTGTCATCTCTGATAACCTCCTGGGTAGTATGGAAGGCAGGTTCCTGTTCTAAGAATCAGGAGCTGGAGTCTCTTACCTCAGGTCTCTTCACTCACTTCACTCATGTCTATTTGTTCACGTCATAAATATTTAATGAGCATCTAATATCTAAGTAGTGCCAGCCACTATTCGGGGTGCTGGGACACATGGGGAACCTAACAGAGATCCTGCTTCCTGGAGCATTGTTCTTATGGGGGTGGGCAAACTGTAAACACATAAATATATAATGTGCCAGATGGCAAATGCTATGGAGAAATTAAACAGGTAAAAGGGACTGGAGAGAGATGGAGGTGCTGCTTTGTATGGGACGACCAGGATTGGCTTCTCTGATGAGATGCCATTTGCATAGTGATATGAATGAAGAGAAGGATTAAGCCATGTGAATATTTCCGGCTCTCGAGGTAGAGGAAATGGCAAGTGCAATGGCCCTGGAGTGGGAGAGAGTTGGTTTAATACAAGCTCTTGGCTCTTGGCATCAAAGGTAGTTAAGAAGTTTGGACAATAAGATTCTTAGGTTCCTTTGCATCTAAAATTTTGCTCACATTATTCTTCCCAAGTTAGAACTGCAGAAGATGAAGTTTTAAAAGATCTTTATCACTAGTACTTTCAAAGATATCATAGAAACATTAAATCTTAAAAACAGAAATTTTTAGGTACAAAGTTTAAAATACACATGAGATGACTACTTCAGTAAAAAATAAAATTTCATGATGTTATAAAAAATGATCTTTTCAGTGGGAAATAATTTTGTAATTTTAAAGCTTGAAGTATTCTCAGTCATTGGTATCCACATTAGTCCACATAAATTCTGAAAATCAACTTCCTACCTAACAAATTTATAATGAGGAGTTGTTATCACTATCAGAAAGCAATGCTTCGTTTTGTCCACGTTGGTTGTTATTCTAGTCAATATCTTTCAGTCACTTCAAATCTCATGAGTTATGTTGACAAAGAATATTACTGTATTATACCATTTGATATGGAGTATTTCACACTTAGATACCCCACTGAGCTAAGAATGTTTGAACTTTTAAAATCAAAACTAAAAAATAAGCTATAATTTAGAAGCCTATTTTCAAACATTTCAATGTTATTTTAAAGATCCTTTTTCTTTCATCTACTTAGGTCTATACATTGTGTTTACATTATACAGTTTTCACTGTCTATAACCATTTTATTTGAAGTATTCCTTTGGCCCTATTTTTCTCTGCCTTAAATTTCATGGGGACTGCCATAAAATTCATTCTAAACATTGTGTTGATTAGTATTGGTGATGAGTATTAGTCACTTTGGTGTACCATGAAAAAGTTACAATTTATATCTCTTCTGTAACAATTTTGAAATAGACATTCTACAGAAAGCTAAAGGATGACTACCCAAAAGATTTCTAAACAATGCCTACATTTTAGAATATACTTGATCTCCACCCCCTCCTCCCGGCCACACACACACAATGTCTGTGAGCCCATTTCTTTTAGCTGCCTCTGTAATGTTCTGATTTATAAGCTTTTTGGAATCAAATCCAACATGTACCAATTCAACCTAGGTTGACAGATGCATTCCTGTTTTATTGTTCCCAAACTGCAGAACTTCCACAGTTGCTTCTGCATTTAGGAATGAACCAACATATGTCTAGAAGAAACATTAGTGCAAATCATT